GCCCGCCACAATGCTCCCATTAGTTAAGAGTCCCTGGTCATCCTTCTTCCCGAAAAAAGAGGTATTCCCAAAAAGTGAGGGATTTCCATCCGCAGCTGGGGCCAGAGGAGGATGAGGAGGCAGCACAACTGCCTGTCAGGCGGAGAAGCCCACTGTGCCTATTTTCATCTCTCTGTTACCTACGATGGTACTGCACTGCAGGTAGAAATTGGACCATTATTACTTGGGTAAAAAATGGCTTTCCAACTAGCATGCAAAGAAAAAATACCCCAAACCCCAACCCCTAACACTCAGTCCCAGTCACTGAGATGTAGGAGACCTACACTTCAAATTGTCGTCAGCTACGAGCTCTAGTCAAGAAACCCACTTGTGACCTTTCCAAAGAAAAAGGGAGTTCTGCCTTTTTGGGCCCACCAGCCACTGCCAAACTGTTTCAGTTCAACCCACCAGACCTGCTCCCACTCCAGCGTACGCCGCTGGAAGCGAAGGCCCACCCCTGCCTGCCTAGGGAGTACAGAGGAAAACCCGCAAGCGCCCCGGCACGCAGGCCTCGCGCAGCGCTGACGGCCTCAGTCTCTCCGCGGTACGAAGCTGCGTCGCTCTCGGCCCCGGCGTGCTTTCGGCAGCGGTTTGGGTAAGCGGCTGTGTAACAGCGTCAGGGCAATTGCATATTCCAGCGGAGGCAGCAGAGGAGCTGCCCCTGGCGTGGTGGCTGGGCCCCCCCGGAGGCCTCTGCGAAGGCTTGTGTCAGCCCTGAGAGCCAGTCTGCGGCAATAACAAAAGTAAAACAATGAGGTACGGAAAGAAGGGCCCAGCACTGGGGAAGAGACCAAGAAAGAAGAAAACAGCTCGAGCACTGCCAGAAATAGCAAAACAACTGAAACCCTTTTTCTCCTCCCTCCTTTTTTTTTTTTTTTTTGCCAGGGTGAGTTAAATACGTCCCTTTGTCGGTTGGTTGGTTGGTTTTGGCAAAGTGAAGCCCTCGGCCCAGTCTCTTTCCTGGCTGTGCTAGTGAGTTACCGCCACAAGTGCTGCGCGGCCGTGAAAGCCACCGAGAGGAGGAGGAGGAAGGCAGAAGGCAAAGATCTGCTGCTGGCCCCATTGATGCCATGTCCAGACTGCTTAGGAATAGCGTGCGTTTCTGGCTGCCTGGTGCTGGGGCTCTTAGAAAGTCTTTTGCCACAGACGTCGTCAGGACAGCTGTCACCACTCCCCGAGCCGCTCATGTCGTCACCTGCGCAGAGACAAACATGAGGTGAGCCCCAGCTGCCTCCCAACGACCCTGCCT